CTACAGGCATGTGCCACCACGCCCAGCTAATTTTTTTTTTTTTTTGTATTAAAAAAAAATAGATAACGGGGTTTCCGCCGGGTGTGATGACTCATGCCTATAATCCCAGCACTTTGGGAGGCCAGGGCGGGCAGATCACAAGATCAAGACCACCCTGGCCGACATGGTGAAACCTCGTCTCTACTAAGAATACAAACATTTTTGTATTTTTTAGCCGGGCGTGGTGGCAGGCGCCTGTAATCCCAGCTTCTTGGGAGGCTGAGGCAGGAGAATCACTTGAACCTGAGAGGTGGAGGCTATAGTGAGCTGAGATCGCACCACTGCAGTCCAGCCTGGGCAACAGAGTGAGTCCAACTTAAAAATTAAAAAGCAAAAAAAAGGAAAGAGAGGATGAGACGTCACTGCTGATTCCACAGACATTAAAAGAACGCTAAAGGGCCAGGCGTGGTAGCTCATGCCTGTAATCTCAGCACTTTGGGAGGCTGAGGCAGGTGGATCACTTGAAGTCAGGAGTTCAAGACCAGCCTGGCCAACATGGGGAAACCCGTCTCAATGAAAAATACAAAAAATTAGCCAGGTGTGGTGGCAGGTGCCTGTAATCCCAGCTGCTCCTGAGGCTGAGGTGGGAGAATTGCTTCAACCCGGGAGGCAGAGGTTGCAGTGAGCTGAGATCGCACCACTGTACTCCAGCCTGGGTGACAGAGTGAGACTCTGTCTAAAAAAAAAAAAAGAAACTTTAAATGTAGCAGGTGTGGTGCACCCCCCTGTGGTGGCGGCTCCTTGGGAGGCTGAGGTGGGAGCATGGCCTGAGCCAGGAGGTCAAGGCTGCAGTGACCTGATTGCACCACTGCACTCCAGCCTGGGTGACAGAGCACCCTGTCTCAAAAAAATCAGAGTGGCGGAGACCTGACCACCTCTTCCAGAATCCCAGGCCAAAGCACCATGATGGAGAGGGGGGCCTGGGGCCCAGTTCCCCTCCGGTGTCTCGTTCCCTCATGCAGGCTGGATGCAGAGGCAGGTTAGGAGCCCAGCAGGAACCCCATCCTGCGGTCTGGCCTGGCGAACCCCGAGTGTGGGCCTCCGAACCCACTCACCAGGGTGAGGGCGACTGCTCTGTCCTGGGGGCCTTGGGCTCTGTGTCCCCCTTCCCTGAGCCCAGGGAAGCTGCTGTTCCTTATGGGAAGAAAGTCATCCAGGTGCCATGGCAAGAGACTGAAGGCACAATCTGTCCCAGCATAATAAATAAGTGATTACTTAGTTATAGCAATGACAGCGTTTAGATTTAGATACAATCACATAATCAGTTATGGACTCAATCTTATTACATCATTACTCTGGTATTAACCTTTGCTTTGGTATTACTGTGTAGGAACGTTTTTCATCTTATAAAAATGATTGGGTGAAATATATTCAGAACTGAAGGGACATTGTGAGGAGTGATCAGGAGACAAGCGTGAGAGCCTTGCGGTAGCACCAGCGCCCGGGGAGGCGCCCGTTACTTAGCAGGCAGGACTTGCGGTGGTGCCAGTGCCCGGGGAGGTGCCCGTTTCTTAGCAGGCCATAGGGGGGTTCCCCTTTCACTGAGGGAGTGCACTGAAAACTCTGCTCTCAAGGAAGGTCTGACACTGGCCGGGCCAGCCGCAGACATCCAGGGGCTTAAACACCTCTCCGTGGTGCTGTGCTCCGACGGTCACCACCCTCGTCCACTTTCAGGTTCCACTTTCCCACCCGATGCTCCCTTGTAAATTCTTAGAAGCTGTGAGAAGTAAGAATAGAGGAATCCTAAAAGCCTTCGATCTCTCTGATAAGTTCATAGAAAGATACTGATGTCTGTGCCTCCCCTCCTTGCAGCGACTGAGAGGGAGGGGCCCTCTGTACTGTACCCCTGTGACCCTGTGTACGATACCCACATGGCCCCACGTATTGTAAGAATGTGATTTGCTTGACCTCTATGAATCATGTCAGATGAGTTACTCTCCGGCCCTGTCCCCTGCCTTGTATACAATAAATATCCAGGCATTCGGGGCCACTGCCGGACTCCGCCCCTTGGTGGCAGTGGTCCCCCAGCCCAGCTGAATTCTTCTATCTCTGTGTCTTGTGTCTTTCTTTCTGCGATCTATTGTCTCTGCACACAAAAAAGCACCCACTAGACCCTGCGGGGCTGGACCCTGCAGTCTCAGTCCTGTCGTTGGAGAGGTGGCGAGGAAGAAGGGAAGGAGCTGGGAGAACAGGGAGAGGGGCCACTTGGTGTCCCACGGGCAGGGAGGGAGGGGCAGCAAGCAGGGTTAGACATGTACACACCACACACAGCAGCGCACCCCCCTCCACAGCTCTCCGGCTGCTGGGTCACAGTTGCTCGAGGTTCTGTGGGTGCCAGCCACCGACTCTGGCAGAGCTCGTGTGGTCTATGATGTCTTTTCACCACACACAGCCTGTGGGTCAGGCTCATGCCATGGCCCTGGAGACACCACAGCTGCAGCTGCTTCTGGACAACACCATTTCCCTGACCCCATTTCAGAGACAGTGGCCCGGCCAGGGTTCTCTCTGGAGAGAGGTGAGATCAAGAATCCAGGGGAGGCTGGGCACGGCGGCTCATGCCCGTCATCACAGAACTTTGGGAGGGAGGCTGAGGTGGGCGGATCACCTGAGGTCAGGAGTTCGAGACTAGCCTGGCCAACAAGGTGAAACCCCATCTCTACTAAAAATACAAAAATTAGCCGGGCATGGTGGTAGGCACCTGTAATCCCAGGTACTTGGGAGGCTGAGGCAGGAGAATCGCTTGAACCGGGGAGGTGGAGGCTGCAGTGAGCTGAGATTGTGCCACTGCACTCCAGGCTGGGCGACAGAGCGAGAATGTCTCAAACAAAACAAAAAAATCCAGGGGAGCCCACAGGTATGTCTGCCACAGATGACACCCCCCCCCCCCCCCAGGGAGCCCACAGGCTGCAGTCAAGCTGATGGGGCTGGCCAGTGCTCCTGGATGCCTCCTGCTGCCTCCTAGGGCCTGTGCGGTTCTGTCCTGGAATTACAGTGGTCACTCTGCTGGGCCTTTGGGGTCCAGGTTGGGGTGAAAACGTGCAGGGAGTGGCCTGGGGCTCTTGGGAGGCCCCACAATTTGGGTCAGAGTCTGCAAGTCCCAAAGTTTCCGGCATGGGGCTTGGCAGCTGTGGGGTCTCATGGGAGGCGTTTAAGACCCAGAGTCACCAGCTTGGGCTGACAGCTTTTCACTCCATGTGACCAGGTTGCCTTTCTCCTTTCTGTTAAGCAAAAGCCCTCACAGTTTCTAGGAGCGGACCTCCAGGTGACGAAAACCAGGTGGCCCGTGGGGTCAGGCCGAGTGTGTCTGCAGCTGCAGATCAGGCCTGCGCTGTGAACAGCCCCCGCTGCGGGAGGTCCTGGGCTGCCCCAGCACTACAAACTGGGGGCTGGGGCATCGGGAGCTCATTCTGGTTCTAGAGGCTCAAAGGCCAAACCCGGCTGTTGCCACGTTGTACTCCCTCTGGAGGTGTCCCAGGAGGCGCTTTCTGGTCCCTTCCAGCTGGGGCGGTGCCGGCAGGCCTGAGTACTGTGGGGCTGGGGCTGCGCCTCTCCCATTCCTGCCTCCGCCCTCCGTGGCCTTGTCTCCTCTGTGGCCGGCCTCCCCTCTTCTCACCCAGGACCACAGTCATTGGATCTAGGGCCTTATTTTGTCTTTTGATTTATTCTTTATAAACGTGGTCTCACGCTGTCACCCAGGCTGGAGGGCAGCGGCACAATCATGGCTCACTCCAGCCTCGTCCTCCTGGGCTGAAGTGACCTTCCACCTCAGCCTCCCGAGTAGCTGGGATGGTGAGCAGTGCCACACCCAGCTGACTTTTTGTTTTGATTTTTTGTAGAGCCAGGGTCTTTCGATGTTGCCTGGGCTGGACTTGAGCTCCTGGGCTCAAGCGATCCTCCCAGCCTGGCCTCCCAAAGTGCTGCATGCCAGGTGTGAGCCACTGCACCCAGACATACCATTTCCACACAAGGTCACAGTCACAGGTTCAGGTGGAATGACATTTCGGGGGCACTGTTCAGCCCTCACAGTCACCTTCCCCCATCTCCCCCAACCCGGCCAGGGTCAGACCTCCCCAGCACTCTCCTCCTTCCCCATGCGGCCTGATCCCTGCTCATGGCCAAGACGTCCTGGGGGTGTTACGCGTAACATCCTAGGGAGATGCTCCACCTAATACCGCAGCAGGAGCACACTGGCTTCTCCCTCTCTGCGCCCCGGAGGCAGCCCCGAGGGACTCCACTGGGTACTCTGGCTTGCACTAACCCTTCCACCTCCCTCCTGTGACCTGGGGCGGGGGCATGCTGTCTCCACCTTCCCAATCCCGAACCCACTGCCCAACCCAAGGCCCTCCACAGGGACGTCTTCGTTTGGACTGAGGCCCAGAGTCCCGGCATTTTCTGCCAGAAAGTCTTAGGCCAGCTTCACCCAGACCTGGACCTGAAGGATGTTCACACGCTCCTTGGAAGCCCTCCCCATCAGTGCAATCAACAGAGCCATTCCAGAACGTCCAAACCCTGAGGGGTGTGGTGTGGGGAGAGCCTGGGGGGACACAAACACTTGGTAATGATGAGCGAACCTCTGTGTCCACAGGGCAGCTGGAGCAGGGAGGAGGAGGTAACGTTTAGGTTATTTGTTGTCTTATCCAGAATGGTGATCCATGAAGCCTAGAAGGAACTCTGAGTCGTCACAGAGACTGTGAGTGTTCTGGGACCGTGGGCGGGCTGTTGCTGTCCTTTCTGTTTTGGTTTTTTAATTATTTTTATTTTTTTGAGACGGCGTCTCGCTCTGTTGCCCAGGCTGGAGTGCAATGGCATGATCTCAGCTCACTGGAACCTCCATCTCCCGGGTTCAAGCGATTCTCCCACCTCAGCCTCCTCAGTAGCTGGGATTACAGGCGTCCAGCATCATGCCTGGCTAATTTTTGTATTTTTGTAGAGACGGGATTTGACCATATTTGCCAGGCTGGTCTTGAACACCTGACCTCAGGTGCTCCACCCACCTCAGCCTCCTAAAGTGCTGGGGTTACAGGCGTGAGCCACCGTGCCGAGTGGGCTTTGATTTTGTTTTGAATGGGAATGTGGTTCGAACGTATCCTCTCCAAAATTCAGATGTTGCCAATGTGAACGTTATGGAGAGGTACAGCCTTGGAAGAGGCCACGAGGCCATGAGGACTCCTGACCTCAGGTGATCCACCCGCCTCGGCCTTCCAAAGTGTTGGGGTCACAGGCGTGGGCCACCGAGCCCACGAGTGCTGTATACTTTTTTTTTTTTTTTTTTTTTTTTTGAGACGGAGTTTCGCTCTTGTTACCCAGGCTGGAGTGCAATGGCGCGATCTCGGCTCACCGCAACCT